AAAAAAAAGAAAGGAAGGAAGGAAGGAAGGAAGGAAGGAAGGAAGGAAGGAAGGAAGGAAGGAAGGAAGGAAGGAAGGAAGGAAGGGAAAACTGAGATAGAAATAAAATCCTTTTTTTTTTGTCTTTGTTGTTGTTACATTTTTGGTTTTGTTTGTTTGTTTGTTTGTTTTCTGGGGAATTTTTTGAGACAGAGTTTCTCTGTAGTTTTCGTGGCTGCCCTGGATCTTGCTCCGTAGACCAGGCTGTCCTCGAATTCATAGATATCCACCTGCCTCTGCCTATGGAGTGCTGGGATTAAAGGTGTGCACCACCATCGCCCGCCCCTCCCCCTTTTTAATATTTTATGTTTATGGGTGTTTTTCTGGCATGTCTGTCTATGCAGAGAGGCCAGAAGAAGGGCATCGAATGCCCTGGAACTGAGTTACAGGCAGTTGTTAGCCACCATGTGGGGATTGAATCCCGGATCCTCTGGAAGAGCAGTGCTGCTCTTAACTGCCAAGCGTTCTCTCCATCCCAATAAATCATTCGTAGGGCCGGAGAGATGGCTCAGTGGTTAAGAGCACCAGCTGCTGTTCCAGAGGACCCAGGTTCAGTTCCCCGCACCCACATAGCAGCTCACAACTGTCTGTAACTCTAGTTCCAGAGCATCTGGCATCCTTCCAGAGGCATACATGCAGGCAAAAAAACCAATGAACATAAAAATAAATAAAGCCTCAAAAAAATAAAACATAAAAAAAATCCCCATATTATTAACAGAGGCAGTTGGAGGAGATTTGGTGCTGTATTTGAGTAATTATACTTATTCACTTCTATACCCTGCTTAATGTGCTGTGGAAACTACAAAGGCTTTACAGTCTATCTTTTTAACGCTTTGCTTTAACTTGAGACTTGGCTTTGCGAGAAGCTTAGTGATGTCAAGGAGAGTGCCATGTGTCTGGTTCAGCTCCAATGGCTCTCTTGACCAGGCTTTTTTCTTTTTTCTTTTTTCTTGACCTGGCTTTTTTCTTCCCTCTGTGCTGTACCCAAGACTTGTGGTTCCTCCTGACGGTTAGCCCATTAGAGACATGGCAAGTCACACAGCTGCCCTTCAGGAGAGATACGATGCTTGAATCTTATTTCTATCCTACAGGCTGCCATAAGAAAAGAATTGAATGAATTTAAAAGCTCAGAGATGGAGGTTCATGAAGACAGCAAACATTTTACACGGTAAGACCCTAAAGATCCAAATATTTATAGCTAAGTAAAATTTCTCCAATGGACAAGCATAACAAAGTTGTTCAGATAGGAGGAATTCTACTGATCTAGAAAGCCAGGCATGGGGGCATAGATCCATAATCACAGCACTTGGAAGGTGGAGGCAGAAGGATTAGGAGTTCAAGGCCAGCCTCGACTCCATGAGACCTTGTATTAAGAACAGAGACAGTGGGGCCAGGTGACGGCTCTGTGGATGAGCACTGCTGTGAAAGTGTAAAGATGAGTTTGGACCCCTAGAGCCACTAAAGCCAGATGCGAGTGTCTGTCATCCCCGCGTGTCACGGTGAGATGGAAAGCAGAGATAGGCCAATCCTCAGAAGTCCATGAGCTAGCCTAGTGTACACAGCAGTGAACAAGAGACCTTGACTCAAACCAGTGGAAGACAAAGACTGACACCCTCGGCTGTCAGAGTCTGACTCCCACGTGCCCACTGCATATGTGGATCTGCACCCACACACTACACATGTTAGAAATAGAGTGAGCCGGGCGGTGGTGGCACACGCCTTTAATCCCAGCACTCAGGAGGCAGAGGCAGATGGATCTCTGAGTTCTAAGCCAGCCTGGTCTACAGAGAGTTCAGAACAGGCAGGGCTACAGAGAAACCCTGCCTCAAGAAACCAAACAACAACAACAAAAAGAAGAAATGAATAGGGCCGAGGATGTAGCTCAGTTGGTAGAGTGCTTGTCTTGCATGCACAAAGCCCTGGGTTCCATCCCCAGCACTTATAATCTGGGTGTGGTGGTGTATTGTAACTAGAGTTTTTCTCTCCAGGTCCCTCTAAGCCCAGGGAGTCCCATAGCCCACTTATAAAATAAACATACAGATGCTTATATTATTTAAATTGCTCAGCCTTTAGCTCAGGCCTACCACTGTCTAGCTCTTGCATTTAAACTCAGCCCATTTCTGTTAATCTATATGTCACCATGTGTTCCATGGCTTTACCTGCTGCCTTTTATATCATGCTCCCCGGACGGCAGGCTGGTGTCTCCTCCTAGCTTCCAGCTCTCAGCCTCTCTTCTCTCTTTGTTCCACCTATCCTATACTTCCTGCCTGGCTACTGGCCAATTAGTGTTTTATCAATCAATCATAGCAACATATATTCACAACATACAGAACATCCCACAGCAGTGTGTGTCTGTTATCCTAGCACTCAGGTGATAGAGGCAGGAAGGTCAGGATTTCAAGATCATCCTCAGCTACATAGGGAGTTCCAGAGCATCCTGGGCTAAATCAAACCCTGTACCAAAGCACCACCACCAACAAAAGAGAATGAGAAGTAAGGGGCAGTTGTAAATGCCTTTCTGAGTTTTGCCATTTTGTGTAGCCCAGACCTAGAATTTATATGTAACCAGGGCTGGCTTGAAACTCTCTAGCTCCTACCCTCAAAGTGCTGGGATTACAAACTTGAGTTACTAATCTCCCAGATACTTTTTCTGTTGTTTTTGAGACGGGGTCTCACTGTCCCGAGACTGGACTGCAGGCCTATGCCACCATGCCCAGCTTAGCCTGGGGCTCTGGATCCTTCTGTCAGCCTCCTAAGAGCAGAGGCTACAGATGTGAGTGTGAGATCTGTGAGACCATAAACTGTGTAGACAGCTTAGTTTATTTAGCAAGTATTTACTGAGCACCTTTAACACAGTACATACAATTCTGGATCCTTTGGTTACAACAGGCAATCAGGAAGAACCTCGAGTTTCTACAAGCTCTTGTTCTGCAGCAGAAGGGCAACTGGGAAATAAACTGCAGACACTTAAGGCTGATGCACCTGTGACACACTGAGGTGGAGATGCCTGGAGTCTAGAGAGCAAGCATCCCTCTCTCAGACCCTCCATCCTCAGCCTGCAGTTGAATTGCCACCATATCAACTCAAGATAGTAGATGCTTAAGGAGAAAATCCATTTTTTTGTTGTTTTCTTTTGTTTTTGTTCTATGAGACAAAACCGAGGATCCTGCTCTTTTGTTTACTTGGCTTCTGACAAACAGCTGTTTTGCCGATTGTCTGCAGAGTGACAAGCACAGGTCTGACCAGTTCTCCTTTGGGGAGCTTGTTGTCCTTTTGAGATAGGATCTCACACTGTAGCTCAAGCTAGCCTGGAACCTGGAACTCAAAGCAGTCCTCCTGCCTCAAACTACCAATGCTGGAAGTACCGCTACCTCTCCAGCTACAACATAATAGTACTAATAGAGTGAAGCCAGCGCTAGAGATTTAGTTTAGTGGTGGAGCATGTACGAGCCAGCCCTAGTTCAGCCTTCAGCACCACTAGAACTATATACATTTTTGTAATCAACAAAAATCCTTTTGATTTTTCCCAAAAAATTTAAAGAATAGAAAAGCAGTCTTGGGCTAGAGGGATGGCTCAGTGGTTAAGAGCACTGGCTGCTCGTCCAGAGGACCTGAGTTCAAGTCTCAGCAACCATATGGTGGCTCACAACCATCTATAACCTAGACCCGTTGCCCTCTTCTGGTATGTAGGTGTACTACATGCAGGCAGAACACTGTATACATAATAAATAAATCTTTTTAAAAAAAAAGGAAAGAAAAAAAAAAGAAAAGCAGTCTCAATTGTCTGGTAACTTGTCCTTTTTTGACCCTTCCAGCTACCATCGCCCATGATGCTGAAGTGTGAGAAAGGGACTGAAGGACCATGGAAAAGCAACCATAGCACTTCCCACACAGCCAGGCTGCTCTGGGATCTGGTTTGGGGTGAAGAGCACTTCTATGAACGTAGCCTTTCACTGGAATGGAGTCTCCTGTGCCGCCCTTAGAGAAGAATGAAACACCTAATGCTTTTGAACCTGTTAACAGCACTGCAGTGGACTTGAAGGCGTCCCTGTCCCCAGCCACCCAAGCTCGGGCCCTTGATGGACCTGAGTTTTACTGGCTGCAGCACACCCTGCCCTGAGACAGTGCTTGTGCTGAGGCAGGTGGTGCCATTAGCCTTACCCACCTCGCTGTGTGTGTGTGTGTGTGAGACCCACTCATGCAGGTGTTATTCCAGCCACCAAATCCTCTTGCCAGAAACCCCGGGGGCACTACCGTTCTAGCAAAGGGCCCCCACTTGCAGAAGTGGTGCTTGGACCCCCTGGCATGGCAGTTGGAAGAATGTACTATCCCTCCTAGACTGAGGCCGACAGGAAGCTTGGCGTCCGGGCTGTCCCTCCTTGACACTTGTCTTCCCAGCTCCTTCCCTTTTGTTTCGAGACAAGATCTTAAACTGTGTCTCAGGTTGGCCCACAACTCACTGTGTAGCCCAGGCTGGCCTCAAACTCCTGTCTCAGCCTCCCACATGCTGGGATTACAAGCATGAGCCATCATGTTTAGCTTTCATCCTGGTCCGTATTTTAAAGTTATCTTAAAGAAATGATGGAAATTTACTCATTAAACAGTCGGAGCTGTGATCAAGCTGTTTAAATGAGAATATCATGCACAGTTTCTAAATACAAACCAAGAAAAAGGCCTTAATATTAATGTCACTTTGGCAGAGAACTGACTCATGGGTTAAACTCATAGACTATCTATGTTCCTTGTACCAAATGATACTGTAAATCACTTCAGCCAGTGGATGTAGGCGCCCTGTGGGAGCACACGTGTGCCACTGGTGCCCATGCGTGCAGCCAGAGCCCCTCCTCGGTGCCCTTGGCCCCCCTTACTGCGGAGCCCCTCTGCTCCAGCAGCCTCCCGCCTCTCCTCTCTGGCAGCATTCACCTCACTTGCCTTTTCGATTCCATGCTGTAGCCAGTGTGGTCAGTGCCTAAGTTTCTGGATCAGGTCCTCCCCATTCGTATTTGTGATGTCAGTATGATTTCCTAAAGCAGATCTGGTTATGTACCTCGAAGAATTTTTCTCCTGAAACCCACACAGCCTCACTGTTCCCTCCTGATTGCAATTTACGTTGTAAGTGGAAAAGAAGACGCCCCGTTTCTCTCTCGTCTTTTTGTCTGCAGTCAGAATGTAGCTCAGCTAGCCTTAGTCTTGAGGTCTTCCTCCCCAGCCTTCCCCATCTGGGATCATAAGGTCAACAGGCTTACCCAGCTCTTCCTCAACTTCGTATTTAGTAAATTGTGACTGTTATAAGTGTTTCTCCTGCTTTATTCTCTTTCCTGTTGGTGTTCTCTCAGCGATTTTCTCCTTGTTAGCATCACACTTAGTGAAGATTTAGAATAGAGGGCAAACAAAAATGCTCAAGTGACCTTAAAAATAGTACTTCCTTCTCCACGGAGGAAGAGGTGGTTTTGTTTTTTGTTCCTGCATGGTAGTTTCTGGCTATGGAACAAGACCCCACCTCCTCAGAGCTCGCTAACACTTGGGTTAAGGAGGAAACCCAGTGACTGTGCTAAGGCTGTTAGAAGTCTAGATGCAGGTTGCCGTAACTGCTAACCCGAGAAGTCTAGATACAGGTTGCCGTAACTGCTAACCTGGTCGTTCTCCTTTGTGATTGCATTTTGTTCAGTGTGCTCAGGATGGAACCCGAGTTCTCACAAGCTAGGCCAGTGCTCCCTGCCACTGATCTGTCCCCAGCCCTGGCTCCAACCACTCTTTCCTGTTGGGTTGGGGACTGCTTTGCATATGCCTATGCTATCTGTGGCTGAGGTGACATTTTGTTTTGTTTTATTAGATAGGGTCTCATGTGGCCCAGAATGGCCTCAGACTCACTAGATAGCCAAGGAAGACCTCAACCTCTGATCCCCCTGCCTCCACCTCCCAAGTGCAGGGAGTACGGACATGACCCACCATGCCTGACAGCAAAAAACTTTCAGTCTTCCTTCACTGCGTTTCCCCTCTCGGTGCCAAGCCTGAGCTACCTGCCCGCTCCTGTGTGCCATCAGGGCTCGGAGTCACTGTTCATCTCATTGTCTTCTGAAACCTGGGGGAGGGTGGCATCTAGTCAGTGGTTCTGTCTTAGTGTATATAAAAGTTGACTTTGTGTTTTCTGTCTGTAACTTGGAGTCACAAGTGTAAATGTAAAGGAGGAAAAGCCTAGCATATTGTACGTAAAGATGTTCCCCTAATGTACAGAATCATGTAAAATAAATAATTGCATTGTATATCAGTCTTCCCACCAATCTTAATTATTAAAGTATTTTAGAATATTAAAAAAAACCTGGATTTGTTTATTTTTTATTTTTTTCAGTGCTGGAGATCGAGCTCAGGCCTCATTACTACTAAGCCATATCCCTGACCTGTGTTTTGTTTTGTTTTACATTTAAAATTTTTATTTTCATTTTTATTTTTTATTGGTGTTTTGCCTGTATGTCTGTCTGTCTGTGTGAAGGTATTAGAGTTACAGACAGTTGTGAACTGCCATGTAGGTGCTGGGAATGCAGCCTGGGTCCTCTGGAGGAGGAGTCAGTGCTCTAACCGCTGAGCCATCTCTCCAGCCCTGTTTTGTTTTACTTTATTCCAGAAGGTTAGAGCAACTTAAAAATTATACCCCCCAAAAATAAAATAAATTAAAATTATACCCCCCAAAAATAAGATAAATTAAAAAAAATTATACCCCCAAAAATAAGATAAATTAAAAAAAATTATACCCCCAAAAATAAAATAAATTAAAATTATACCCAAATCTGCTGGCCAGTGGTGGTGCACGCCTTTAATCCCAGCACTCGGGAGGCAGAACCAGGCGGATCTCTGTGAGTTCGAGGCCAGCCTGGTCTACAGAGAGCTCAAGGACAGGCACCAAAACTACACAGAGAAACCCTGTCTTGAAGAAAAAAAAAATTATACCCAAATCCAAGAACTTAGGAGGCAGAGGCAGGCAGATCTCTGAGTTTCAGGACAGCCAGGGCTACACAGAAAGACCCTATTTCAGGAAAAAAAAGAAAAGAAAAAAAGAAAGAAAGAAAGAAAAAGGAAAAAAATGATACCCAAAATACTGCTCGTGACTTCAAATGAAGAGGATAAATGGTTATGTTAAATGCAGCCAGAAGTGAGAATCTGTCGTTTATGTATTTCTCTTCATAAACAAAAATCCCAGGGCTGGGGGTATAGTCAGTAAAGTGCTTGCCTAGTATGCACCAAGCCCTGAGTTCAATCCCACATCATAAAACAAGGCAAAGTGTATCCCAACCCTTCTGAGGCCTCGGCAGAAAGATGAGAAGTTCAAGGTCATCTTGAGTGTAAGCTACTCAAGCCAGGTCCCTCCAGAGGACCTCCAGCTGCCGGGTTCCACCCACAGAACACTGTCCTAACAGCTGAACCCTGCCCCCACCCTACAGCTGCACCTGAAATCTCACCTATCTCCACCCTGGAGAGCTTCACCCTGAAAAGTTCCACTCCCTCCCACAAGAAACTCTTATAAGCCTTGCCTTCTGCTCAGTTCCCTGCTGTTTCTTACTCAAGCAGAGGCAGCCATAGTCCTGTCAATAAATCTCTGGTGTGAGGTTTGTTAGGAGGTGTGACTTGTATTCCTTGGCTCCCAACTGCCAGGATACCTTTCTGTCCGTCCGTCCGTCCATCCATCCATCCATCCGAGCTGTAATGCTTACATTGGGTGTCGTGACTCAATAGGCTCTCCTAGTGCCTGCAATTCCCCTCCCTCATGGTCTAAGCTGCACTGGGACCAGATCCCTCATCTCCAGTCTACCCACAACAGACTCACCTTCCTACTTACCAATCCCTCAGCACGCTACCCACCAGCAGCAATTAGGTAAGTTTTCCCTTTGGTCCGTGTGAACATTTCCCTGAGTCCGAGGAAGTGACCTTTGAGTGTCTGGCACTCCTCTGGTACTCTTGGAAGTAGAGGTATCCACCATCTTTAAGGCTATGGCTGGTCCTCTTGACCTGACCCTGTCCCCCACCCTTGAGCTGCAATCCTGCAGTTTCCTTAGGCCCAACTGGGCTATTGCAACCTCCTGCCCTCCTCTACCTCGCCTTCAGAGCTGCCTGTAATCCCACAGCTCCTCTAGACCCTTGTGGCTATTTCGACCCCATTAGAGACCCTTTCCTGTGGATGAGACCCTCCTCCTAGAGCTCAGTTTTTATCCTCACCTTCTACAAAAGCCCTGGTACCAGGCACTGAGTCCCTCCTCTTGATAAGGCCCTGACCCCGGTTGAGTCTGGTGATGACCCATTGAACGTCTTGGTCCTCATTTGGTCCTCCTTGAGTCCTGGGGAACGCCCACAACTACAGCCTGCAGTGACATTTTCCCTTTCTCATCCATGGGAACATCCCCTCTCATTCCCCCTTGGGATGCCCTTAGAAAACCTCCAGCTTCTCCACCTGATACCCGACCTGAAGCGCCCCAAATTTATTCACTTTTGCAATCAAAGGACCACCTAATGGAACCCTAGATCCTAATATTACTCAAGACCTTTACAAATACTATGAGCTGTCTCGCAGTGGTGCACGCCTTTGATCCCAGCACTGGGGAGGCAGAGACAGGCAGACATCTGTGAGTTTGAGGCCAGCCTGGTCTACAAAGCGAGATCCAGGACAGGCTCCAAAACTACACAGAGAAACCCTGTCTTGAAAAAC